GTGCTTATTTACATATTCTCTGCGGCACAGTCTCAGGGTTGTGCACACAGAGTTTTTCTGTTTTGAAGATCAGTGGCTCATCTGGGAGACATGAGTAACACTGGTGCACTGGAAGTGGCCCGGCGCCAGGGTGAAAGCACGTGGATTTCCAGGACAGCCACCTGGTAATCCGGTGGGCTTAGACAAGGCCGTTGCCTTTTTGTGCCTCACACACTTCATCTGTCCATTGAGAATCATGCCACCCAGGTGCTAGGAAGACAGCTGGAATTGTGTGGGCCCACTTGCACCGGATGTTTGGTCCTGTGGTTACTGCACCGAGTTCAAGTGTTTGCTAGTAGCTGCTAAAGGCACTGCTCATGCAGAGGATTATCAGCACCCAGTGGACTCCTGACCCTTATGCGCACGAAAATAGCAACCCGGGCCAAACTCCGCCCCCGCCACTGAGTGGATTGCAGCAACAAGAAAAATAAAATCTGCGTAGTGTGGACCAGCCCACTTCAAACCCTTGTTCTTCAAGAAGTACCCATGTTTTCAGGATCCCCAATAGTCCCCTGCCACTCTACAGAAGCCCAGCCCCTTCTCCCCAGAACCCTACAGACAATTACAGGGCTTCCTGGACCTGTGGGCCTGTGCCCAGGTGGGCATGAGGTCATCTGCAGCACAGAAAACATAGTGTGTTGCTAATGCTTGTGTTAAGAGGTGTCACGTTTACGGCTTTTGAATACTCCCCTCTGATTTGCGTGCCTGCTCCCTGTGGCCTAGTGCAGGGCAGGATGGGGAGTGAGGGTCAGAACCAGAAACAGTGCTCTCTCTGCAGCTTTCAGCTGGTCAGGGGCCCCACGAGGCTCTCACACCCGTATCACCCTCCTCACACTCTCCCCCCATGCTTCTTGCAAACACAACCCTACTTCTCAGTTCATGAGGGACCCTTCAGCGACCCTCCACTCTCTCCCCCTACCTTTGCTCCCGATGTTTACATTAACCACATTTCACCTGGTGAAGGGTGTGCAGGTTTGGGGGTGGTGTGAGCCAGGACTCTCCCACCCTAAATCTCTCTGAGATGGCTTGCTTTGGAGGGTTCAGCCTTCCAAAGCTGAAGTGTCCTATTCCATTGAAAGGGGAAGATAATGGATAATCTCTGGATGATCAAATGGATCTTGTTCAAAAAAAGACGTGAATACCGTCTAGCACGTATTGAGCAGTTAGTTACTCCTTGCCAGAGTCTTTCCATGTCTAACTAACCCCAATATAATTGGGACTTCATGCTGTCCAGTCTGCTTGGTTTTGGAGTCTAAAGAAACAGCAATCCTACATCAACCTGTAATTAAAAGCTATTCAGGAGACGTATGGGAAGATGGCACCAGGAGAGAAATTCATCTGCTTTATGTCAGGATCCCTGTTAGACTGGTGACTATCTATATGGTTTTGTTTGTTTGGTGTGTGTGTGTGTGTGTGTATCTACACAAGATAGGCAAGTTAGGCAATCTTACGGAGACAGTGACTGGATCAACAGTGCCTGCAGGGCATGGGAAGTGGGGCGTGGGAGGTGGGAGGTAAGCAGAGCCAATACCAATGGGTTCAGGGGAATAGTAAGGGTTCTAAATTTGATGGCAAGGAGGATGTAGCTTTTCTGTTCATGTTTGATCAATCAAATTGTATCTGAGAGGAATTACTGAGAGGCGAACAACAGGTAAACATGATAGTGGGGCAGGAGGGAAAAAAGAAAAAGGAAAGAAGAAAAACATGTGTATAATTGTAAATATATAAATATATGTGTGTTTGTGTATGTATGCAAATGCAACAAGGAGCAGATTGACTTGGGCCTCTACTTAAATCTTACCTCAGCACAAGAACAGTTTGTTCTAATAATGTGTCATTGTATGATACTCACCTTCCTGACATGATTGCTGAAGACAAAATGGGTGCATCAGCAAATGTGAAGAAAGCTGATGGTGCCTGGCTACTAAAAGATAGAGCGTCTAGAGTCTTTTTTTTTTCTTCTGCCAGACACAGGGACTTCCTGGGTTTAATTAAAGTATTGAAATTGATGAGCGTTGTAAATGACTTCCTGACAAAATGATTTCCACAGGTAACTCCTTAGTTTATATAAAAATGCAAGAAAGTAGCCAGTGCTTTGAAGTGAGCCAAACAAGTGACATCCTAGCTGAGGCTAAGCTGGAATGGGCCTCAG